CCTGTTTTAGCCAAACCAGGACACTAATACATCCCTCCCTGTCAGCAGCCCCATTTTTCCAAACTCTTAGTTTGAATAAAACAAAATCTGCATGACATATGGTGCTGCCTATTCTGCTGTGAAGGTCACATTGGAGCAGAAATTGACAGCCTCTATAGATTTAAGAGGGCAAGCATGTCACATGTCACAGTGTTAACAAACTGTTCCTATGTTTGTATCTTTTAAAGAATTTCACAAACCCATCTAGTAGTATGTAGGCGAACAAGATGATTCAGGGACTGCATATTAGCTTTCACTGAATTTTAGAGTTTCTAGTCCAGTGGTGAATAGTAAATTTCAGTATTACCAATCGTAAATTTATAAACCATTTGTCAGTGTTCTTGAAAGAAATTATCTTACGGATAATGAGTTTTGAAGAAACAAATACTCTAACTCCTGGGTTTTTAAATGTTCAGAATTATTCTTTCAAGTTTTTTTTCTGCACACATCAGCTTGATTCAATTTTGATCAAAATCCAGAGTCTTTAAAATGGTATAGGTGAAGCAGCTAAAGTAATAAGGAAAATAGTAATAACTGAAATAAAACATTGGAATTTGGTAACACTACAATGCCAATGTATTTGTAAAAACATAGCCTTATATATGACTGCATAACTGGGATGCCTTATAACTTTCTACTGTGAATATAAGTATAGTGAAGTTGGAGTTAAGATGTTACAAAAATACTTTTTCCTTAGTAAAAACTTTTTTACCTTTTGAAATATTTTTGAAAAAGGTAAAATATTTCCTGAAATAATAAAAAATTGATTTGTGAATAATTGCCATAGGACCTTAGAGAAGTTATAATTCTCTCATCAGTCTTCCTTTGGGAGTGTAATTCCTTTAACAACCCAAGCTTTCTTGCAGAAGAGTCTCTGGTTCTACTGAATCATGGGAAATGCTGTCTAGATGAAAAGAACAGGATAATGAAACACCTGAACAACAGATCCACTGAGGCAAATAATCCAAATAGTATATAATCCAAGTAAAGATATTTCAGTTACTTATTTTATCAATATTATTTCTCTGAGAAAACAATAAGTAGAAGTTTATATATAACTGAAACCCCGATTTTGTACGAGATCTTTAGAAGGAGCTCTTTTGGCAACCTTCCTTATGAGAAAACAGTATAAATATTATTCCTTAATTTTAATATCTTGTTTTTCTCATGCACAGTTTAGGAAAAAAAGAAAGGAAGAAAAAGAAAAAATAAAAAAGTCAGTGATTGCATGGCAGTAACGCTAGAGGTGACTTTTAGTCATTGCTGTGCAAGTTCCACATTAAAGTGTAACTGCTCTGGTTTTAGCTGGGAACGTTGTAGATGATCAGGGAAGTGACTACAGTAAGAGGTGGGTCAAGGGTGCACCTTTTGCATAGATTGAGATTTATAGTTTGCACAGATACATGACTTTATTTTTACATGCATATATTTTTATCCATATTTAAAGGATTTTTATTAAATAAGATTATGGTAGAGGCCATTTTATGTTTTACATAAAATCTTGGTTCCTAGGAGCTATTTCCACTGATTTTTCTAGCTTCCCAGGTTTTCAGCATGCAAGAGCTAAAAATTTGAAGCAAAGAAAAAAAATCAAGAAAAATGGATAAAAATGGGGAGCAGAAAACAGCTTTATTATTGCTTCTTGAAGAATATTTTTTATTTAATGCTTCATTTACCTTGTAGAAATTTTTGTTATTTTTGACAAGGTTTTTTTATGCAGATTCAGAGCAGGTGAAATTGTAAACAGTTCTTTTAGGATATTTTTGTGACAGCCTTCTAATAGCATACATCCTCTGAGACCAACTTTTATCTTGTTCTTCTATCCCTTTTTGGCGTGTGTGTGTGTGTGTATATATATATATGTATCCATATAATTACTATCCTTTTCTCAAAGGGCTTATGTTCTCCTACTTTCAAGGTGTTCTAGTTACCTTGGACATAAATCAGAGGAAAGAAAAAGAGTGTAATTGTCATGAAAATCTTTTTTCTTGCAAATATTTGGAAAGTTTGATCTGTGGTAGTATGTAATGAGAGACAGTGAGCTAACTGTCATTCAGAATTCTCTTGATGTGTGGATCTGGCTTTTTAAAAAATATTTTTATTGTCATGTACAATTTCTGGGAAAATTATGAAGAAACAGCCTTTTAGGAAAGAATTAAATAAACAGGTGTAATATGTCACAATCCAGCAAAACAGCTCTTCCAGTCTTTACTAGAGCTAGGCATGTTCTCAAGGTTATAAACATGCTTTCGAGTGTTTCTGTATTAGAATCTTATTTCACAGAAGCTGTGAAACTGAAATGAGAATAGCTGTTGGCAGAAGTGCAGGGATGTACTCTTTTCTATTATTTTTGCTTTCAGAAATTTTGAACAGTAAAACAGTGTGGTCATTCATTGCGGGGGTGAAATGAGTCATAACTTTGTAGGTATGCAGCAGTGAATAATGAATAACTTCAAAGAAGCTCTTTTAAGACCCTGACCTAGCAAAACATGCTTAAATATGTGAGTAGTTGTATGACTTCTCTCTTAATTATGAAGGAGGAGTATGTTCACTGATATGGCCACTTATTACAGCTTAGTCATCAGTTGCATCTTTGATTTATTTTTTTTTCCCCTGCCAATGGTGCTGTCTCCTAATTATTGTTGTCAGAATACTGTTTAACTCTTTAAACTCTGTTTTTATTTTTATTTTTTAAAAAGAAATCTGCTGCAACAGATGGTTGTTTTGTTTAATCATGCTGTTAGGCCATCTGTTCCCACAGTCAGATGGGAGAAGACAGACTTATCACATCTCACTCACTGAGAGTGAGATTCACTCAGTTGGTTTCTGTCTCACACAACCTTACAGACTTCTCCCTCACTCGTTTACAGCTCTCTAGCATAATTTAGTGATGGCTTGCATCTGGTCTAGGCTGAAAAGCTAGCTGTAGTGATACACTGCAACCTGGGGAATGGCATGTAGGCTTTGTACCCTCCCTAGGAAGCATTTCAAGGGCATAGTTGTTCACTGCAGCCTATTACCATCTTCTCCCCCTGCTCCCCAGCCATGTGGCTCACAAGTGTGAGAAAATAATTTTTTCTCACTGAGGGTAAAGGAGCTGAAGGTATCTACAAAGGTGTAATATGTGTATATAGCCACACAGGAGTGGCAGGGAATGATGCTGTTTGAATAAGGTGTACAGGCCCTACTTCTGTCCTTTGCTGTTTCCTCAGGTTTTTATAAAAGTTAGATTCCAGACAATTTACCACACAACTGGAGCTGCTGCTCCAGTTAAAATGGGGTTTCTCTGAGTTTTGGACAAACTGAATTTTGGACATTTACTGAACTGTGTCAGATTAAATCTGACTAATATGTGTTTCTCTGAAGATGTTCCTTCAGCATACTCAGAGTGGCTGTAAAATTAATCATAAATATTTGAGATGAGACTTCATTAATGGGAAACTGCAGCAATGAATATACAAAATCTCATCTTGACAAATTTGCTGCAAATCCTTTTTCTTCATAAAATTATACTGTCTGTAATATTGCCTGTATTACTTAAACAAATGGGTGGAAGGAAAAAGTGGAGGGAAAGCAGTGATACTTACATCTTAGCACTTACATATTTGCAGAAGTTGTAGAGAAGTCTCTTCAAATGATTCTTTTAAAATAGATTATTTTGATGAATCCTGTACCGTTCTCTTTGTTTAAATGGGCCTAACTGTTTTAATTGTATGTGGTAGAGAGCTTCCTGAGGAAGCAACAAACAGGCAACCACTCTTCTCTCAAGTGAACTGAGAATATTCAGAAGCTGTAGGGACAAGTTTTAGGGTTTTGATGGAACCTTGAGTGCAGCAGTTATAAAAGGTCCCCCCAGATCTGTAGATAGCAGTAATAGTGTTTTGAAAGCAGTAATGTGTTTTTGAATTTTTTTAATTGCTTTTCTCCTATCAGTTCTTTTTTTCTGTTTATGACATTTGATAATCCCAAGGGTAAAGAAATTAATGAAAGAAACCTTAGGTGACACAAATTTTACACAGCTTTAGCAGCCACTTGCGACCATCAGCTTTCTCTTGGCTGTAACTTCCATGGTGTCAGAAAGGAAGGTGAATGGCCTGAGGGACTTAAACCCTACAGTTCCCTGTTCTGTCCTAGAGTGAGGTCGTAAGGGAGCCCAGTTGCTCTCCAAGACAATGAACACAGACACTGAAATGACAATGAGATTGCATTCCCCTTCTGTTTCCCTACTGCAGTCTTTGGCTTGCCTCTTTCTGTTTACCTGGCGAATCTTATGCTTTGACTTAGAGCTGCAAGACAGTAAGGAGATTATTTTTGACCAGCCCTCTTCTCCTCCACAGTTGGCTCCTAGGACAGGGGGAGACTTTAAAGAAAATCAACTTAAACCAAACTGTGATTTTGTTTTGTTTTGGTTTTGTTTTGTGTTTTTTTTTTGTTTTTGTTTTTGTTTTTTTTTTTAGCTACTACAATTCTTTTATCTCTGCTTCGGTGTACCTGAGCTGAATTTGTCTTTTGCAGCTAAACAGCGAAGATCGTATTCTAGAAAAAGGTATTCATAAATTGCATTAGTTGAATTACATTTTCTACAATCTCTTAATACAAAACACGACCTGCAGTTGACTACTACTGTTTTCTTTCATCGTGGCAGCTGCAGCTTATAGAAAAAGAGGGATGGTGGCTACGAATATTGTCTATAACAAGCTATCAACTCTGCAAGAAAAGAACCTTTTCCTAATCCAAAGTACCTCAAATTTGTGGACATTTAGGCGTGTTACCATGCATGTTTTCTTATGGAAGAGTGATAGCTGTGGCGGAGCTGCGTATTTTATGGAAGAAAGTGACATTGATTTTACAGCTGTTGAACTGTGAGGGTGGAAGGCTTAGTTTATTAAAGGTCTCTAAAGAAATATAGCTATCTCTCCTAGTAATTTACTAGGTATTTAAAGGAATAAACCACAGAATTTCGTTATTATTGGCTAATTTGCTTCTTTTTCTCTCAGGAAAAGATCATGTCTGTAGATTCATTGGATGTGGAAGGAATGACAGATTTAACTATGTGGTCATGCAGTTGCAGGTCAGTGTTTCAGAGCTCAAAGTTTGCTTGTGTGTTTTGGTTTATTAGCCAAGCATATATTAAAATCCCAGTAAAATTTTAGAAGATGACAAATTAAAAAAAAGCCCGAAGATCATGAATGCATAGGAGTGAGCAAACCTAAATTGAGCATATCCTTCTATCTTTATCCTTTGATAGCCTTTCCATAATTCTCTCAGAAAGGAGAAAGTTTGCATCCTCAGAAAGACCTGACTATTGAAAGAGTGAACTGTGATGTCTTCTGAGATAATTCACATTCCTTTGAAGTCTTCACTTGAAGATAGTCTAAAATAGAATATATTAGTCTGTGCATTTTCATAGCTTTTTTGATGAAAGTGAAAAAATACCCTTTGCAAGTGAAAGAAAACACTTAATTTGCTTTTGTTGTGGTTTAACCCCAGTCAGCAACTAAACACTATCCAGCCGCTTGGTTGCTCCTCTCCACTCCTAGTGGGATGGGGAGGAGAATCGGAAAAAAAACCCCAAACCTCCTGGGCTGAGATAGAACAGTTTAATAACTAAAGTAACTGAAAATATAATACCAACAACAATAATAATAATAATAATGTAAAAGAATATAACAAAAGAATAAAACCAAAGAAAAGACAAATGATGCACAATGCAATTGCTCACCACATGCTGACTGATAACTGAGCAGCGATCCCTGAGCAGTGATCGGCCCCTCCCGGCCAACTCCCTGCAGTTTATATACTGGGCATGATGTTCTATAGTATGGAATATCCCTTTGGCTAGTCCGGGTCAGCTGTCCTGGCTGTGCTCCCTCCCAGCTCCTTGTACACCTTTGTACTGGCAGAGCATGGGAAACAGAAAAATTCTTAACTTAGGATAAGCACTGCTTAGCAACAACTAAAACATCAGTGTGTTATCAACATTATTCTCACACTAAATCCCAAACATTGTACCAGCTACTAAGCAGAAAATTAACTCAATCTGAGCCAAAACCAAGACAACTTTGTTGAAAGACTTGTTCCTGTGAAAAGGGGTAAAATGGGTGATTAGCACTGAAAGTTATGATATTATTGTCCTTTATAATTTTGGTGAATACCAATACTGGAAAAAGAAGTGTGCTCTAGTTCATACTGTTGGTCATCTGTTATTTTGACAAACCAACACTTGTGATGTCACGAGGGTGCATTTCATGCATAGTATATTTTTCATCTCTTTGGTTAAGTCATCTAAGATATACTGTTCAATTAAATAAATTATGTACTTTTCCTAAAAGAGGTGAATGTAAAAAAGTCTTTGTGAGCTTTTTCTCAGTGGCCTTTTTTCAGGTGTGACACAGATACAACATTAACTAATAGTGTATGTACTCGTCTTCTAATAGAGATTAGTTTGATCCATGTTATTTAGCGGTAGAAAGATACGAAGATTAATATTTTCAAAAATAGATTCTGAATTTCATGTTGGAGATACTCGGGGACACACACTCATTACATTTAGGTGAGATGTGTTATCCTTGAATATAAAAATAGGCAAAGAGAGTATTTGGTGGTTAACCATGAACAGTTAAAGAAGAAGTAGGAAGACTTTACACTATCTGTGAATCTTGGTATTAGTATCTTTTTATGAAACCATCCTTTTAACTTTATCAGGGTCGGAACTTGGCAGACCTGCGCCGCAGCCAGTCTCGAGGAACATTCACCATTAGTACCACTCTGCGTCTTGGGAAGCAGATTTTGGAATCTATTGAAAGTATTCATTCTGTGGGATTCCTGCACAGGGACATAAAACCGGTAAGTCTGCCCATTAAATCAAAACAGGCAAGTGATATGTGGTCATTAGATGGCTGCATAAATAAGAATAGATTCTATACTAGATGTTAAAATGAAAAAATGAGAAGGGACAGGAAATTGAATGTTTATTCATCAGAAGGGGCAGATTTTTTTTTGTATTAACTAATGTTGGATTGCAACAACAATAACTTTGGTCTTTGTCATCATTGTCTCCAGTTACTTAGGCCTCCTTGCAATTTTCTGTAGTTAAAACTTCCAACTCTTACCTGTAGCATCATGCAATCAGGAGTATTTGCCATGAGGTATGATATAATGAGTTTGGCTAATCACGATATCTTCACATAATAAATCTAAGAGAATAGATACTAACTGTAGAGTGTATTTATAAGCTTTTCAATAGCAATTTTTTTTGGTATTTAATATATTTATAACAAACAAGGAAAGAGAAGACAGGCTGTAAGAGAAAACTATTAAATTGTTTTATTTTACAATTCTAATAAAATGAGTGATGCCAAAATGTCATGAGGACAGTGCTTTCCTGATAGCATGACGCTTTTGTTCTTATTATTTTTTCTGTTTTTCTTTGTTTTTATTCCTGAAATTGCATCAGCTTTTTAAAATATTGCTCTATATTAAAAATATCATTAGAACTCTGAACTTTGAAAATTTGTAATGAGAAAAAAAAAAGGCAAATCTTATGTTTTCTAATAGATGCAAATATGGATGGTTGTATCTGGCAAATATAGCTAAATTTCCTGTCAGCTGAATAATGTTTACATAAACTATCTGATAAGTTTCTGTGCATTAGGGAATTTTCATTTTCATCACTTCTTCCTTGCAACTTTTTATAAAACTTGCATTCTCCTTGACCCATCCCCAAGACTTCATTTAATAGGAAAAGGACACAGAGGCAGTGAATGTCAAGTGAAATAGGTGAGAAAGAGTTAGCTGGAGCGCGAGATTTTAATGATGAAAATAATTCAGATTTTGAATGGGAAATGTGTTCCTTTATGGCTGGCAGGATGGATTGGGGACGTTTTGTTATCTAGCCGTATCTTGGAGTCTATGTGCTGAAATAGGATGGAAATGGAGAGTGCTATTAGGGGATGGAAAAAACCCAGAAAATTAAATGTTGAGCAGGGATAAACAGCAGTGTGAGGCAATGTATTAGATTAATAAAAGAAATAATTTTTCTTCCCCTTTAGGAGTTATGTTGTGACTTAGACATGCAAGAGGTTGCACGATTGCTTTCTAGCATGCAGTTTTCCTGGCTTGAAAATACAAGTCCATTTTATCTTTTATTATGCACCTTCTAGATAGATTATAATAAAAGCAAACTTTGTGCTGAGCTGAAATCTTGAAATCCTTGGTTGGTTATTTGCCTCATGTGATGAATTAGGCAATGCTGAAATTCTGTTCTATTTAAAAATAATGTTGATCACACTCATTTCAATTCATAGTTTCGATTGGTTTTTACCCTCAACCTTTGACACTGGAGCAGCTGTGAATTTCAGATTTATTTAGAACAGTACTGCTGTTTTGCTTAATGGAAAATGAGTAGTTTTTCTAGAGTTAATTGCTTTAAGCTTCCAGCTTGCTCAGATATGTAGTTTCAATTCCATTTCAGAGAACTTGTTTTTAGCTTTATCTTTTTTTATATACGTAATCCATTTTAAGGGGATTTGGTGGGGAGATTTGAATCGATTCAGCCAACATGTTCAAACATCATAAACTAGCACTGTTGAAGAATTTTTTTTTAAAGAGCTAACATAGAATGTTAATCTGTAGAGGCAAATAAGAAAATCTACTGAAGCTTTTCAGAATGAATTACCTCCATAAATCCTCACTGACTTTCCAACTCTTACCGTTTCATTATTTTGGGGTTTGTTGTTGTGTTTTGATTTTATTGGTGTTATTCTTTTAAACCTGGTTCTTCCCCCTCCCATGAAAAGAAAAAAGCAATTTGCACCCCTTATTCTGTAATCTGCATATATAATATTAGTGCATTTGTTTAGATGAACTTGTTAGCCCCTAGGTTGGTAGTTTTTTGAAATGTTCAAATCAAAATATGTGAGTGGGTCACATGATTGGAAAATTCTAAGTGACGAAGTAAGATGATAATCTCTTTGGACCATGTAGGCTGCGCTTTAGATATGTTAAGCTGGATATCTGATTTTCTCAATGTTTTCTTCAAATTTAATGGGAGTTTAGTAGACCTGAAAATATGGAAGGAAGGATAGAGAAGTAGAACATGGATTTTCTATGATTGTGTTACTGCATTAATATGTGCACATACTGAAATGTGTGTGTATATATATGCCTATATCTATTTGTATTTGTTTTTCTTCCTAGTCTAACTTCGCAATGGGACGTTTTCCTAGCACCTGTAGGAAGTGTTATATGCTGGATTTTGGCTTGGCACGGCAGTTTACCAACTCATGTGGGGATGTCAGACCAGTAAGATTTTTTTCATAATTGTCAATTTGATTAATTGAATGTAGTAATATGCTGGGGTTTTTTCTGGAGAAGTATGGGAGTTACATTGAACTGGTAACTGATGTAAACTTGACAAACATCAGCCCAGATCAGAAATGCCATGTGATTTATTGATTATATTAAAGGACTGGCAGTCAGGAATGAATCAGGTTTCTGATTTTTGGCTTGAGGCAGAGGTGTTGTCTATGATATTTTTGGATAATCTTATCTTTTGGTTTGGAAAATCAAGCGACAAATAGGTTTTCATTAAATACCAGATTAATACCCCAGAGCTGAATTTCACTTGGTATTATATATTGCATTAAAAAAAAAAAAAAAAAATCTATGTAAGAGGAAAAATCAAACACTGAACTGAATACATAATGTTCTGAAAGAGAAAGTCTGAATAATTATAACAGTGATAGGATGCTAATTATAATATATAACAGGACATAGTTAAGTGTAGTCGCTGTATTCCCATGTGATGCAGTCTGAAGAAAATTGTAGATAAAAGCGTATCAATGAGGACATTACAATTTTAAGTACAGTAGAGCCTCCCTAATTCACTGGTGGGCAGTCCTTTTGTTAATTTCAAAGTTTGAAAATGAGCAAGTGAGTGCCATGGTACAAGGCGATGTTTGAAAGAAACTTATTTTCTTTAGTTTACATTTTGATGGTAATACTGAATAATGTATTAGTCAGTATTGTATAGCATATTTATTAATGTGATGTGATTTGAACAGTAGAAGCCATCTCTACAGGATTTTCAATTTTATTTTGCCTAAGAAATTGGGAAAGTGGCAAATTTTTGTGTGCAAATTATGAGGTATGTGAATTAGTAAGGTAAATTAGCGGGGTTCTGCTGTACTCTATTCCTTCAGCCATAATGCTGGACACTGCAATGAAAGCAAAGAGCAGGGGAGACCAACAGAGTGGCTGTCGCTGTTGGAAAGGTGAGCTAAACATTTTAAGTAGTTTTTAAATTTATTTTTTTTTTAATTTCTCACATGTTCTTGTCGTGTTCTGTATGTTTGGCTGCTTATAATGTTTTTCTAACTGACCTGTAATTTTGAAGAGAAAACAATTCCCAAAATTCTGTAATTTTTTTTTAATATATATATACACACACCCCCAATGGTAGTATTTTCAGAAAAAATAGGTGATAACAACAGAAAATTTAATATTTCTGCTCTTCTTTCTTTTGTAACAACTTGACTCTTGCCTTTTGTTTTTCATTGCAGTGCCCTACAATGTAACTGAAGTAATTCATCAATTTAATCTGTTTAGAATTTTCTGACAGTGTAATCCATACTAGCAGAGTGGCAGTGAGGGGGAAAAAAAGACAGCAGTTTTATTTGTACTTAATAATCAGAAATGTCTCTTGTATAGGTAGCGACCATACTGTTGGCTTTGCTTACTAATAAAATTTAATAATATTTTAATTAAATATGCTATGTGCTTCTCCTTAAGGCTATCCTTCTTCTAAACTTCATTAGATTTCTTCAGCAGATACTGCAAATAACCTGGAACAATGTAAAAGCATGTTCTCCAAAAAACATAGTACTCTATTGGTAAGAACCTGTTCCTTAGTTAAGGTTGATTATTAGATTTTTTTATGATAAGCCTAATTTTCTATATACCTAACTTCCACGGAAAGAATCCAGTTCCATTGAGATTTTATATATCACCCATGAGTCCTGGAATTTCCACGATGTGTTCCAAAAGAATTAGAAGAGGAGTTTTGGAAATTATATTATATATACCAGGTTTTAGTCCTGCTTTGTATTTCCCCCAATGTTAAGGAACTCCTGGTGGCCATAAATCTGTTTGTTCAACTCAAAAAGATGGAACAGGCTTATACGGATACTGTTGAAAGAAAAGTTTACGACAGGGCTGTATTTCCCTCCGGAAATCATTGGCCAGCACCGCTGGCTAGCCTATACATTCTGGCAGGGGGAGATAAAAAATTGAGTTAGCTTCAAGACTGGTAGAGAAGAAAGGTGTTGTGTAGTTCTTTGACAAAATGCAACTTAGATTGGCAAGGGTGTTGAAACTAAAAGGCAATTACAAGAATAAATTATCATCATTTTTATACTATAAATCTTCTTGTTAATGTAGGTAGTATTCACTTGACTGAAGTTCAAACAAGAAGTTGAAAAGAGGTCCTTCTGGTGAGGAAGGCTACTTTATTTTGTGAAATCTGGTCAAGAAGCAAAGAGGAAATGAGAAATTTATTAAACCATTATGCTAGCCAATATGAGACTCTTGGTTAATTCCAGTACGTTGTACCAAAGCAGAGGAATGGAACTCTGCTGAGTTTCATACGATTTCAGTGTGATAAGATGTTCTTGTTTCAGATCTGTTCTAAAAAAAGAAATTATAAAACTTTGGGAATCCATGGTTTTATTCCAGTATTTGACTGAAGTATATGCTGGTGTTTACTGATATATTCAACCATCCATTTGGACCCTTCTGCGTTTCTGTTAATCCTGTGCTTATCCTAGTCTGAATCTTTTCTTTTGTCTCTCCTCTCTGGTTTCCTTTCTACATCCACCTTCTAATATTGCTTTGCTTCCAGTTAGACTAATTTTCCTCTTCTTGCAGTTTTGGTACCCACTGGAATAGTACAATGCAACAAAGTGAAATTTTCTCTGCTCTCAGTTTCTTTTCTTTGCACCATAATGAAACCTGAAAGTATTCTGAAGGAGTGAGATAAAAGAAATTCAGGCTGTTGAAGCTCTTGATTGAACTATGCTTCATGACAGGTAGAAAATTTGAAGAATTTAGATGCCTGATTCAAAGAAGGCGGTATTGAGTTTGTGTGAAATTTAGTTTTTCATAAGCTCAGGCATAATCAGGTTTGGATGGCTAGTAGAATATTCCTTGACATCATTATGGTACACTCTCAAATCCCTCCTTGTCTGCCTTCATTCCAAGGCACACTGGGGATATTGGCTTCCAACAAATTATTGTGGGGGTTAATAAACAACAAAACAAATGTTTGTGTCAGCTGCATTCAAGAACAATTTGAAATGATTTGCTGAATTAAAAGCAAGCAGCTACAAAAACAGCCATCTAACATGAAGAATTTCATCTTAAATTGGTAATATGCAGAAAGTTTCAAGTGGCTGAATGCAGGATCTTATATGGAAAGTAGTGGCCAATGTTTAAATATAGATTTTACTGTAGGTGTCTTATATGATATGTTGACAGTGAAGTTCACAAACAGGCAGGGATGCTAATGAGGCTGGAGAAATTTTGATGAAGTTCCATCAATATCCCAATATAAAATGTTTATGCTTTAAAGTAGAAATGAAGATTCATTCAGGTTAGAGCACTTAAATATTTTTGGTACTATCTGTAGTAATTATTTTTTTGTTTTGCATTATTATTACAGCAGTTACCAAATATACTTGTTTTCACTACAGACATTGCATTGATGACACAGACACTTCCCTAGCGTGGCCTTGGTTCTCCCTCATTTTTTCTATGGTGTATATAGACCCATTCTGAACATTAGTTTCTTCATGTACACCGACCTATATTATAGTACTCCAAATCATAGCCTATAGAACTAAGTCTTCCACATGTCATATTAATTTAATTGCAGGGTTTTAATGAGTTATCATAGACTCTTTTGGGGCAAATTTTACAGTAGCATTGAGTCTATTTGTGTTCACTGCAGTCTGTTTTCTCATCTTGCTGCCACACTTTTCTACCTTCCTGAAATGACTGCAGAATTAAGTTAAAAGCAGCTCTATCTTCCATGATAAATTAAATTATTCTCTAGAGTAAATAGATGTTGTTACAGCAAAAATTGCACTCAGGATTTTTGTGCACTGTAGGCAAACAAAGCCTGTGTTTAAGTACTGCTTATTTCAGTTCAACTTCATTATAATCTTTCTATTCCTCCTTTGTGGGAGAACTGATTTCTTGAATTCTCATTTGACTGTTGTTTTTTGCTAGAGAAGTTTTAAAATTAAACATTTGACACATTAACTAGAATAAGAATGTATTTTAATTTATGATTTACTGTGGAATAAAATAAGGTTTATCTCACTGTTTTGTTTCTGCTGCTATTGTTTACCGTAAGTGGTGTTTATTACAAAGTTCACAACAAATAAAGCTCCTCTGGTTCAGTCTGCCTTGAAATTAATAGTGGCTCATATACTACTAAGTTGAAATTATTTTATTTGTTAAAAAGGTATGTGTTAATTAAATTATCTACGGATCATAATATAATCAAGCTTGCAAAGAAAATTTTGTAGGTAGATTAGTCTACAATTGAAAGAAAATGTTTTGCTTTTCTTTACTGAGAGATGTTAGCATCTAGATCTTTAAAATTTCTGCAATTATGCCATCAGAACTCATTTATAGCTTCTCCCATGCCCATGCGATGGCAACATCCCATCTGTTGACATCTTCTTTTCCTGTGCTGGTTTTTCTTCTCAACATTACTAGCTTTCATCTTCTGTGATTCCTGTCAGCTTTATCTCCTTTTCTCAGTTTTCTCCATTTTCCATTAATACAAGTCTTAAACCTACATTCACATAGTTTCTGCCTCTTTATCTTTGGTGACAGTCTTCCTTTATCTGACTTTCCTCTGGCTCCAACTTCTTTCATGATTTAATTTCAAGTCTTCTTTCTTCAGCGTATCCCACTCTAGTTTTATGTTCCCTCATTTTCCCCTTTATCTTCAGTTAGCCTCATTCATAAACACATTTTTTTAGCTCTAGGCACATGATTCACATTCATGATGTCCCTGTTCCAATGCTGTTTCCTTCTGTGCAAACTTAAACTGTATCATCTCTCTAGTGTCTTTGTGAATATCTTATGAACTCAAACTCAGTGTGCTCTTAGTCTTCTTTCTCCTGTGCCAGCTGCCTAGCGCTACTTCTGTTCCTAATCACTGCATGTGATACCATCTTCCTGTCACCAAGCCTTACTGGCAGTTTTGACTTGGTGTGTCTTTACATCCAGTC